GGTTCTATTCGCTGGTTCTGGAGCCTTTAGAGCAAACTGCAGCTTCATGATGTTGTGCGGATGTTCAGTGTGGAACCGACGACGGCATCGGCTGTCTCTGAACTGGATTTATTGTGTGTTGTCCTGTTTCCACTGCGCTGTGCTCAACCGTATAACCTCTGTAACCCAGTAATGATCAAATAAATTAACAGAATAAAACGTTATGATCCACTGATGATCTGTATTTTGTCCTCCACGTCCCGCTGTGTGCCGGCCTGGGCGCCAGTGATGGAGGCCTGGACATGGATCGTGTGTGAAGCAGAGTTTTTATGGGATGCTTCGACACCTCGTGTTGCTGTTTGGGCCCAGAATGCAAACAGGTTGTAAAGATGACAGAGCTTTTTTTAAAAGGGAATTTTTCAGACGCTCTCAAGAGAAAAGCATCATGTGATGTAAAAACAGGTTGAATTTCAGGAGATCAGAGTTTCTGCTGCTTACTGAGAATATGTTGTTCTTCTAACAGCGTGTTGATGTATTTCACATGATTACGTCTGTTACTTCCAGATCTGACTTCTCTTTTTTAAAACATTGTGTGAAATATTTAAATCGATGATGCCTTCGGCCCAAATGTTGCATCAGATGGAATCTTTATTTATTTATGTCACATGTAAGTTTAGATTTTCTTTTTTAAAAGTCTTAAACATTGTGTGTGTTTATAATTTAGGTCACATATAAACGTCCTCGTGCTTCAACATGAGCTCGTACAGAGAAACACAGCTGAAGTGAGCAGGTTTCAGACTGAAACCTGGTTAGGCGTGCTGCTGTCCAAACCAACTGATCCGTGTTCTGGTTCACTGGCTCACGACCGAAGCACGCAGTCGTGACTCTAACTGATCTGAGCCCAGTCTTCAGAGTCTATTCAGAGAAAATGTTCTGTTTTAACTGAAGAAAAAAAACGAGAGACAACCCCTAAAATTATCGTGTTTCTTGTAACTTGTACAGATTCACTTCCTGATTTTTGTCACCGGACCTTAAAATGGTTTCAGCTCCTTGAATTTCCTTCTGGTTTAAAATCCCACAAATGAAAGATGTCTGTGATGAGGATGTTTGGGGATCTAGAGACATTACTGGACACTAATCTAAAAGCAGCGTGTGTCCTAAAGCGTCTGTGATGTTTCTATTAACCAGTAAATCAGACAAACTTCTCCTGCGAAGGGAAAACTCAGGACGCCCCGTGTTCTGGCTCAGGGACTTACTGGTTGCTGTAACACATGTGGATGTGCCCCCAGATTCGGATCGAGCAGGTTTTCTGCTTCGTATCGGATGGCGTCGTGTCGTATGAGGCCCGGCGGGTGGAGCGCCTGCACGCTCTGCAGCTCTGTGAAGTTGGTCTCTTGGAGGTTTTCGAACTCTACGGGGTGCACATGAGGGTGAGGATGGTACTCCCAGTGATCTGAGCAGAGGAGAAGACAGGCGGCATAAACGTCTGAGCATCAACACGACACCTAACTGGCCTCAGTCTGAGTGATTTCAGCACACAGCTCCTGATAAACCTGAAGAGAACGTCGCTCACATGATGTGATGGAGCAGAATATGCGCTCAGCCAGAGATGACTCACGTAAAAACCCACACAGTATTTCTGTGAAAATGCATCATTGTGGTGTTTTAAAGGACTAAATCAGAAGAAGCTGGACTTGACAGCAAGCCGTGAGCTCGACTTTGCATCGACTGTGTGAAACGAGGAGAATCAAAGGAATCCAGCATGAAGCTCTTTCCTGTTTGTTGCCACACGAGCACGGTTACCGCAGCAGCTTTGAATTTTCTTTTCATCTCGTCCTTGGCTGGTTTTTTTTTTCTCTCTCTTTTTTCCAAAACGTATTGAAGAAATAAATAAGAAAATTAAACAAGCTAACTTTTAAGAAATTCACATATTTGAAGTGTAGCCGTGGAAATAGATGATAAACGGTCTCACAGCCAGACGAATGCAGAAATAAAGAAGCAGGTCAGAAGCAGCAACACACGTCCACTGATCTCTATCAGCTTATGCAGCATCTTTATTTCAATAAACAGAGGCTAAGATGTGTCGATGTAGACATCAGATATGTCTTTTATCTGAACCTCCATCACCCTCCACCCTTTGACGTTTTTTCGGTGCAACATTCAAAACATTTGATTACAAGAGAAAGTAAAGCAGCTCCCTGGTATCAGCGAAGCCCCATGGGGCGAAAGTCGTTCTATGTCTGCAGCCGTAGCCGCTGAAAAAGAAATGGCATCTGTTTCCTGTGTTCCCTACGCGCTAATGTGGTGCGCTCCAGCTGCACTCGCTGCAGTCTTTTTATGTACAAGGCACCAGAAAAGCCTCTGTTACCACATCAGGCCAGAAAGTGACAGAAGACTAGACGACTGAAATGAGCAAATTCTCGGTCGCTCTTTTTTCATTTAATAAAAACTGAGAGCAGCGTTTCATGTCAGTGGATTTAATCTGTGGCGTTACACTGAACCCTCATTATCTGGTTGCATGTTAAGATGTTTTTCTAAATTTAAATGTCACTCAGAACAATTTAATAAATCAAGACGCTTTTTTAAAATGAAGACACTAAACAGGAGAGAGGAGACAGAACACGATGCTGAAGTAAAACTCACCTGCCTGGATATCTGCATCTAGCACATATGGATTATAATATTCTGCAATCTGGTGCCTGTAGATCTCAGGATCGTACATTTCTTCTGTGTGCTGTGGGAGCAACAAAAAAACCTTCAGAAACAACCTTCTCAGCAGAGAAAAATCTCAGTTGATGGAGGAGTTGGTCAGACAGCATGTCTCTGCTCATTGAACCCTTTAAAGAAAAGCAGGTAATTCTCTGACATTTTAAACTGTGAAGACGTTGTTTAGACGAAGCGGGATTCGTGTTACAATAATGACAGTTTCTTCTCTTGCCTCTACAGTTCTGAAACTCTCAAGAACTTTTGAGTTTCATTTTCATGTCGCCCTTCGTATAAAAGACTCTTACAGTTTGTGTCCTGTATTCAAATCCAAGCCGACACCACCTTAAGTCATCTAATGTGAAATAATGTGCGTCTTTCATACTTGAGAGCATGAAAGTGTTTCTGTTCGCTGCATTTAGAACAAACCATTCAAGGAGCTCTTTCTTTTAAGCCTCAGATGCCAGAAAGTCTCCTGAGCGTCTAGATGAGAATAAAATAAAAGGTACTTACAGGTGGGATGAGATAGCTCTCCATTCTGTATGGATGCAACATGGAGCCCTCGTCTCCAACAGACCGACGCTCAGACGCTTCGCTGGCAAAACGCTCTCACAACTTTCAAAACTTTTGCGGCACCATTGCACAATGTTTCAAAATTTCCTCTCACTCAACGAAAACCAAAAATGTCTCCCTCTCTCTGATTGTACAGCGGTGTGGCCTGAGCTCGTCTCAGAGGCCTTCAGCTGTGTCGGATAAAAATTAAATAAACAAGGCCCACTGTTTGACTGTAAAATGAAAAAGGAACTTTTGACTTCTGTAAAATTCGTGTGGGTGGGAGCAACGGAGTGTGTCTGCTAGAGGTTCCTGGCCATTGATGATTTGTCAGGAGAGACCATGAAGCTTCACGTTTATCAGGGTCTGTGCTGTCCCCTCCCTAAGCAGCCAGTCAGCTTCAAGGGCTTTCCTCACCGTCAGCTTCTCCCCCAAAAAGCGTCTCACAGGTGATAAACTGGCCGGTTTGTGTCCCGCTTCATACTGTCGCTTCAGTAGATTTAGTTCATTCCCTTTGCCTTTTCAGATATGTCTCATTTTGTAGTGAATGAAGCAGCAAATGTACGTAGAAGCAGTTTCCTGCTGTTTCTAAAGGCGCAGATAAAAGAACGCTTTAAGTTTGAACTCACGCTTCAGTGACCAAGTCAAAGTGTGTGAATGACAAATACAAAGCCTGTGTTTAAAGGACAGCTCACAGTCCAGCGTGTCCTCTCTTTTATTCAGTTGTTGTGATGTTTAGTAAAGTTAAAGTGTCAGAAACAAGCTGCCCATGCGTTCCTCTCCAGCCTTTCATTTGAATTACAATCTGCTTCACTGGTCGCTTTGTTTAAGCAGCCGATAGGTTGGACTCCACCGCACACCG